CCACCACCGCCACCACCAACACCGCCACCACCACCACTGCCAGCACAAAACGGCGATCCCTGAAACGAGGATGGAAGTGCCAATCTCGTAACCACTTGACAAAACAACAGCTAAATATAGATATACTACTGGGAGGAAAAAAATTTGAAATTCACAAAATTTTGTAGTGAGTGTACAAACATTAAATATTCCAAATTATTAATAAGTTGGTGTATTTATTGTCAGGCCTATACATTTAATGAGGACTGAAAAATTGTCCTTACTTCTATAGTACTTTTTTTTTTTTTTTTTTTTTGAGACCTAATAAATAAGACTTTGCAACATAAAGAAATTGTGATTTATTTATGCTCACTATTTTACTATTTAAAATTTACGTAGGCTGAACTAGACTCGACCAATATAGGTTTCTAAAAGCTCAACTAGACTCTACTAAATTAAATCCGAAAAACTGATAAAAGATGGCGCCAGGTAATAAAAATAGATACTTTGGAATTATCACAATAGGTTAGAATAGTTCAGAGCAGATTGGAGTAGGCTGCACTAGTTACATTAGTTCGGAGTAAATCATACTAGTTCAGAGTAGATTGGATTAGTTCGGAGTAGGTTCGGTTAGACATTGACAGATGACTGATAGATAACTGACACTTAAGTTTGACATTGGTTGACAGATGATTGAAATTTGATTGACATGATTGACATTTGAGGATGGTGAAACCCCATAATACATCTACTAACCGGCTTCGGGAAGACCTAATGTGGTTGTCGACGAATTGGCCAAAAACGAAATACGAAAGAAAGTACATGCGTTTTATTTTGATAAGGAAATCCCGAGTTCTGGCAGACAATAAAAGTGATGAAAATATGGCTGAAATTGAAAGAGATAATTTATATGGTAAAAAAAAAAAACTTCTAGCAAGCAGGAGGTCGTCGATGCTTCGATGAAATGGCAAAAAAACCTAATGTGACAGTATTGTACTAAGACTGCCTCCATACCACTATGAACTAAACCATATAGAGTTAACATGGGCATAAGTGAAGGTTTCGACGATGTTCAGGTGATGTTAGACGAAACGATCGAACCACTCAATATAGACGTAAGAAACGACGGAAGCTCCTTCAATTGGTCTCTTTCTGATAACAAGGATGAGTGTTGATTATATTATATTTTTATTATTATTTTGACACAAAATATAATATTTTTTAGATAAATATTGTTTAAAAGAAATCTAGTTTTATCTCTAATAGATTTATTATTCATTATTCAATGCCCGTACCTAAAGTTGCGCATATGATCTCAGTTAGATACAATATGGTGAAGGATTTCTTTTGTACTGCGACCCTGAACGCGGTCTAACTGGGTGAGCTTGACAGGTCAAATAAAGAAAGCCATTAATAGTTATTTAACAAACAAGTGTATTAATGAGAGCGATTAATAATCGAGAGATTTTAACGCGTGAGCGTAGCGAGCCGTTAATGAGCGAGATTATTAATCGCCATTAATATATGAGTTAGTTACAAGATTTTTCCGTCGACTTCATTTGAAACGAAATTAAAAATTTTCGATTTTTATTTTCCACGACAAAAAAGAAAAAGCGTTTTGTTACTGTTCTATGATCTATTTAATTTGACGGAGCAATCTGGAGCAGTTTTGGGGCAAACATCGAAAACGCTATTACAATTGGTTATCTGTCAAAGTGACTGATCTTAATTAAATATGGCGGGATAGGTCAACCAGGGCCGGCCCTACCATAAGGCGAATGGAGCGAGCGCTCCAGGCGCCAGACCTTGAGGGGCGCCTCCGACTTGTTCTTTCGTGAGAAAAAAAAAAAAAAAAAAAAAAAGAGAAAAATATGTTTCTGAAATCTGTTTAATCCGAAAGCCCCATTGAACAATATTTTTGCATTACAGCCTATGGCCTAATTTTTGATTTTTTCCCTGGAAATCTGGGATACCTCGAGAAATGTAGAATTTTTTCATATATCCAGGAGCCTTTTAGCTTAGACATACTAAAATTTGAGTCGAAAAAAACCAAAGATGGCTGAGTTGCGATTTTTTTAATTCAGAAGCCCCACTGAGTGATATTTTTGCATTACAGCCTATGGCCTAATTTCTGAATTTTTTTCTGGAAATCTGGGAAACTTTGGGAAATGTAGAGTTTTTTTTATATATCCAGGAGCCTTTTAGCTTTGACATACCAAAATTTGATTGGATAAAATCCAAAGATAGTTGAGTTACGATTTTTTTCAATCCGAATGCCCCATTGAGTGATATATTTGCATTACAGCCTATGACCTGATTTCTGATTTTTTTCCTGGAAATCTGAGAAACCTGGAGAAGCCAAATATTTTTTAGCATATTGAGGAAGCTTTTAGTTTCAACATATTGAAATTTCATTGAAAAATAGTCCAGGATAGCGGAGCTATGATTTTTACAATTAAATAGACACACTTAGTGATATCTTTGCCATGGCCTGATGGCCTCATTCCTGATTTTTTTTTTCTAAAAATTCTGGAAACTTCGATTAACTAAATATTTTTTTATTTATTAAGGAAGCTTTTAGCTTCAACATACTAAAATTGTATATAGAAATAGCCCAGAATAACGGAGCTATGATTTTTAAAATCAGACAGACACACTTAGTGATATCTTTGCCATACCTAGCCTGATAGCCTCATTCCTGATTTTTTTTTTCTAAAAATTCTGGAAATCTAGATTAACCAATTTTTTTTTATTTATTAGGGAAGCTTTTAGCTTCAACATATTGAAATTTTATGGCGAAATAGTCCAGGATAACGGAGCTATGATTTTTACAATCAGATAGACACACTGCTCTGAATCCTGTCTTCGTTTTTCGATATTCTGCTATTCTGCTTGCGAGCAAAAGGGTGGTAAGTCTGTGATAAGACAGCAGCCGAAACCCAGCCGGTAGGTAGGAAGAGCCCAGCTGGCGTCTCTCAATACCAATTCCTGTGCCTGTGGTGCCTATACTGAATATCTCCTATTAAAGGGGGTGTAACCTTGAAATACAACTTGTATTCAGAAAATAAAGAAGAAAATTCTAAGAACTCTTGTGAAAATCTCCCATCGCTACTCAAAATAATAAGGTAGATACGACTAAATAAAATTTTGTTTATTCATCGCGTGACGTCATAAATACACGCAAAAATTGACGCAGCAATAGGTGTGAGAACGCAAAAACGATACGATAATGTCGATAATAGCTCTTTTCCAAACGACATGAGAAACGTTCTAGAACGGTAATTTCCAGTTGATCAATTCATTTGTCAAGTAGAATAAATGTTCAATTTATTGAAAAATAGGTGGACAACTGGAAATTACTGGTTCTGGAATGTAGCAAGAATCAGCAAACGCGCGTCAGCGCCGGCTGTGGGACTTAGTTTGTGCATATGACGTCACAGTGCTAGGAGTAGGAATTTCATAACACAGTATCTTCGCACCGGTTGGTCGTAACCTAGTGCGGTTTGAAAATTTGTTCTTAGATTTTTTTTTTCTAAAACTTATTTTTGGGTCACACCCCGTTTAAGATTATCGATAACAATAATTTAAGTTGTTTTTAATTCGAACAATACTTGATAGAAAAAATACTTAAATTATTTTTTGAAGTATTTCTACGTGAATGTCATTTCAAGTACCTACGCAAGTTTAAGTGAATACTAACTTGACTCTGACTTTCGTGGAATTTGGTACTCGTACTTGAATTTGGGCAATTCAAGTCAATTTACTTGAAATTTCAAGTATTTCCTTTTGTACTTATTTATACTTGTACTGGTACTTAATTCATATTAAAAAAGAAACTTGTACTTGATACTTAAGTACTTTTTCTTGGTACTTAGCTTAGCTTAGAACATCTGATCGGTGGATAGAGTATACGATTCGCATTTACTTAATTAGGGGCGCCAAAGTCAGATTTCGCTCCATCCTAAAAGTAACCTCGGGCCGGCACTGAGGTCAACCATCTGTGATGTGTGTTTGTTTATAAGTAAACGGTTTTTTTTTTTTTTTTATTCCAAATTGCAGTTTTGTGTGGCGTATGTGAACACTATTCTCACTAAAAGTTTCCAAGAAGTATACCTATGCATATCATGCTGTTCGGAGCAAATGCACTTATCGGTACCATAAACATACATTTGAGAATCAAATTATGAAAAACTGGTACCTGGCTCCGTTGCGGATTCACCGACGAGTTTCAGTGTTTTTACACCCTATCTACGCGCTTCCAGAACGAAACCAATCAGGTGCGCCTAATTAACGCAGTTTCAATTGGATTATGACGTCATCCGTAGAAGTATCCGAACACTATTCGCAGTAGATATCCCCGATAAATATCCCTGTTTGGTAATTATAAGAGGTAAAAATTAATTATAGCTGCATTCCGTGGAATAAGGAGTGTTTAAGTGTGGGTCACTCCCTAGATTAGAGTGTCTCTGGAATGTGGATTATTCAAATGTATACCAGTGGTGATGTCACTGATCGATAATTATAATTTTGATATGTAAGATTTTATTTTTTACCATAGAATTTTAAAACAATATTCAGAAACTTCTTGACTTCTGGGTGATATAAACCAAAAAGTTTCTTTTGTATTGATTTTGATCACGGCCAGATTACACAATTCGTTTGGTTTTGCTCTATAAGACAATGAAGAAACCCGAATTCTCAATCATTAGGTACTAGTGCTAATTTCATTCCGGTTTCGAGCTTATTAGCTCTCGTCAGTGCAATATAAGCGGAAGCATACCAACTCAGAGAAACATTTTTAGATAGAAATAAACCTACTATAGCCTGTTGCTTTGAAGAGATAGCTCTTCAAAGTACAACAAAGCAAAACCAAGAAACGATTCGTTTTGGTGTCATTCTAATTTTATAACACTTGTTTTCCAGAAACTTTTTGGTTTAGGCCCTTGAGGTGGTTTATTGATAACTTTGATATATCAACGACTTTTTGCTTTACCTAAATTTGGTGTTGATTTTTGTTTTAGGGTATCGTGGGGGCCTAGGCGCGAGGAGACATGTCCGTCGCCTCTGACTCGTTCTCTGAGGAGGAGCGCAGCCTATTCCGTCCATTCACGCGCGAGTCATTGGCCGCCATCGAAGCTCGGATTGCCGAAGAATATGCCAAGCAGAAAGAGCTCGAAAAGAAGAGAGCTGAGGGAGAAGTACGTAATATTTGATCATATCTCAACATATATAACAGTTTTAAAAATTAAAGTTTTATTCAAATTTCACGAGAAATGCAACATTGAAATTATTTCAGGTCAGTTAAATTAGTAGTTGATCAAAAAAAGTTTAAACAGGTTCTGAGTCCATTTTTCAACCGGCTTGTGATATACAGGGTATACCATTAAAAAGGAAACAGGCTAAATATCTGATGTCACTTTTATTTATTTTTTAAATCGCTCGTACACGTAATTTGATTGTGTGAGTGTTTGAAACATTTCCAGCACTTATTTGACCCTCTAGGGAGTTTGGGACCAACCCTTACCATCCCGAATGGAACAAGGAGTCGAGTGATACCTGTTTTGAAAGAGCGTTCAATTTTCTTTTAAATGACATCAAATAAAGGAGAATTGAACGCTCTTTTAAAACAGGTATCACTTGACCCCTTGTTCCATTTGAAATAGTAAGGGTTGGCCCCACCCCGCCTAGAGGGTTGAAGTGGAAGTGCTAAAAATGGTTACAGAAAACTTCCCCCTTTGAAAATCAAATTACGTGTAAGAGCGATTTTTTTCAAAATAAACATGGCATCAGATATTTAGCCTGTTTCGTTTTAAATAGTACACCCTGTATATTTTCTCCAATATCGAAAATACGCAATAAAAATGCTTTTATTATTTATGTCACATTGTGTGAGTCAATTAGGTAAATTAATTTCTGTTATTATGCCTTAGTGGGCGGAAACAAATGAATCCGTGCCCAGATACCAGATTGTCTCGTTTTGGATGAATAACGAAAAAATCAATCCATACTCCCTTCTGAGTAATTCATTGGAAATCAATTTGAATTTCTAAAATTGACCCAATTTCAGTATGCATAACAGGTGTTTAAAGATGAAATGAAATTATTTGCTAATAGGTATACGAAGCGATTAACAATCAGCTTCTATTCATTAATACTACTACCTATTTAGAGAATTCAATTATTTGAAGTTTCGTTGATGGAGATGTTATTTTCAATTTTCCATTATGACAGTTATTCAATTTTTACTTTGCTTCGTGTTGACACGATTATATATTAAAAAATTCAACGGCATTACAGTTGCTTGTCCGAGAACCTAATGGCTGTGATGACTTTGTGAGAATAAAGCTCTCTAGCAAAATAATAACTGTGTTGGGGTTTCAGTAATTTTAAAACGACAAATTACTAGAGAGGGAGATTGTTTTTTCTTCGCAACAAAATCTACCTTTAAAAAAACACTTTTTCGATCTTGAAAAACATGTTTCAAATCGGCTAGAGAAATTCAATCCCCCGATTAGTCTGATAGTCACTTTTATTGCATATTGCGATAACTTATTGCAAGCCATTTTCAGCGAGAAAGGAGCTACAAAATAGCTATTTACGCTATGGTATCAATGTCAGTTTTACCGTAGGCAGTACATACTACTTATAGTCAAGTTAACTCAAATCTTTTTGCTGTATATCGATTAGTGTTTCTCAGTCGGGATCTTGCTTTAAATTGTTATGATTGAAGGTTTCCACAACTGAAGCGATTCAGCTACCAATCAGAAACAAATTAGTCGGTTTAGGAAACCGAAAAATTGATTTCAATTAGGGTGACGGACCAATTAACGATCGATTGAGAAGTGTTTTCTCTCTGCAGGACCATACGTGGACGCGTTACGCTGTATCACAGCTCATCAGCACGGTTAAGTCCCGCAGAGAAAAACACAACCCATTTTTGGTTCCATCCTGGAACTACGTATAAGACAAATAAAATGAAGACGGGTCTCCATCTATTTTCTGGTCGGCACACCAAATACTGCGACCAAGCGATTTTGCTCTTGTCCATTTCTTCCGTATCATCTTCATTTTTTAGGCTCATGGTTCCTTTAGTACCGAGTCTAAGTTCTCAATTTAGGCCTTAAAAAAGATCTTATGGCTATTTTTATCGTTGCTTTTCTTTATATCTTCTTTAAGAGTTGTTTGTATACTTTTATTAATTTGTAATTCCAGTATTTCATATGTCATCGCATGGGAGGCTTCTTCTTCGCCTTATCCATTGCCCTGTTTCTTCACTTATCCTATCATTCTCGTCTTTCTTCTCTGCTACTTTATCATCATCATAGATGATCACTCGATACCGAGTATGATTATATTCTATTTCATACTTATTATCGTCGATTGGGCGTTTTCTGATGGCAATATAAACCAACTCTGAAGCCGCACACTCTTCCACAGTCTTGGTACACTCAGCCTCTGGCAGCATTGTCTCTTCCTCTGTTCTCTCGCTTCTTTCTGCGGTCCCTCTTTTCGGTCTCATCGCTGTTCTTCAAAAGTTTGTGGTCCATCGTGGACTAATCGACGCCATGAGGGCCTATCATCTGCCGTCATCTCCCAGTTGCTGGTATAGATCCGGCATATTCCTCCTAAGAATATCCTTTTAGCGTTTATGCTGACCTCCCTGATTTCGTGTTTCCTCTTTCAGTTAACTGTAGAGAATCTGTCGTGGAAGACGTTTTTCGGGCATACGGATGAGGTGACCTGTCCAGCGAAGTTGGTGCCTAATGATGAGGGCTTTCATGCTAGTTGTTTTGGCGTTCTCTAAAACACTAATAATCGATCATTGGATTTGCCATTTAATCTGTAGGATCCTTCTTAGGCATCGCTGGTGGTATTTTTTAGTCTAGCATGTCTTCTGTAGGTGGTCCATGTTTCGCAGCCATATGTAAGTGTTGGTATTACAACTGCATTGTAGATGTCAAGTTTATAGGTATATTTGGGGCTTGGGGATTGGTGCCCGTTGCGGGTTAGTGCAAAATCAGCGTCTTGCTAAAGTTGGTCTCACCTGCATGCCTGGATGAATGCGTCTTGGCTCGTAATCTGTTTAGGTTGAATAAGCCGCCATCGAGTCTGGACAGGATTTTTACTCCTGACGGCAGGTGACCCTCGACAAGGTGAAGTATCCTATAAATAGAGAAAATGAAGTGGGTGCAATAACACAGTCCTATTTACCGCCTGCAGTTATTTGAAAAGACTCTCCTTGTTCCTTGTTGTTTAGGACGGTTGCATTCATATTATCATGCAGCAGGCGGAAGGTCTGGACATACTTTCGCGAACACCCAACTTTTGCCAATATCTTCCAAAGAGCTTCTCTGTTGACCGGATCAAATGCTTTCCATAGATCTATGAAGGCCATGTATAGAGGGCGATTTTGTTCTCTGGAGTTCTCTTGCACTGAAAATCATGTCTGTACCTCGGTTAGGTCTTAAGCCACAATGTGTCTCTCGTAGGTTCTCTCTGGCAGTTGGGATTAGACGATTCGATAATATTCTGGCAAGTATCTTTTACGCAACAGAAACTAGAGATATTCCTCTGTAATTTTCACATTAAGCATTGTCTCCCTTTTTAAAAATGGCAACTATGGAGGTATATCTAAGTTTGGCAGGTATGGTCTCAGTAATCCATATTTTACTTATCAGGATGTGAGTTTGAGCACTTAGTGTGGGGCCTCCTTGTTCAGCAGGAATGCCGTCAGTACCAGCTGACTTATTGTTTTTTAGTTGTCCGATTGCCTTTTCAGCCTCCTCTAATCTGGGAAACTCGCTCAGTTCTTGTTGTTTTGGTTTCTGTGGAATTTCGTTGAAGATGTCATTATTCATCATCATTGTGATTCCCTGTTGAGTAGTTCCTGGAAGTGTTCCTTCCAACGAGAATTAACGTAAGAACTGTCTGTAAGCAGTCTTGTGCCATCTTTGGATCGCAAGAGATTGAGTGGTTGGTCCGTATACCATCTTATTAGCCTGAAAGAAGACCCTGGTGCTGTTGCATGCAACAAGTTTCCGCATTTTGTTTGATTTTGTCATCCACCATTGGTTCCTCAATGCTCGCGTTTGCTTTTGAACTTCTGCGTTTGCTTGTTGGTATTGCTTGTACATTTAAATTCAATAATGATCTCCGAGAATATTATAATACCTGCTTTCATTCTTAGGTAATTATTTTTAATGCGAGACATATTAAGTGTCTGTGTTTTTTTCGGCGCGATAGTTACTGAACAAAAATTACGGATGACTGTCATGACTCATGACTCCTACTGTAAGTGCCTCAAATCTCACCTTTTTATTTGGATTCTGGTTTGTTTGGGAAAAGTACCTACTTTATCTGCTCTTTGAATTATGAATTTGAATTTTCAGCCAACAGAACTATTTAAAGCAAATACTAGTCAAAGAAACAAGTGCCCGCTCGCTTTCCAGCGTGTTATAATTCTCTGTATACTATTTCAAAGCACAAACCTTCTTTGTTTCAATGTTCGTTCTATAATGCCGCCAAATGTTTTAATTTGCTTTCTGTAGCTGTGAAGCAAAGCGCAAGACATTTTATCCTGTTCAAAACGATAGAAATGTGGGACAACTTGCATTGTATTTCCAAGTGGTATCGATAAGTAATTAAATACGGATGGCTATATTATTTTATCCTTTATTATATCAAGCGTTTTATGCTCGGCTTCTGAACATTTGACGTTATCTCACCGATATACTTAGCAATTAGAAAGATAATTATGTGAAGCTTTTTTTATTTGGGTTTCGCCTTGGATTTCTCAGCCAAAAGTCAATGTAGAAGTATAAGAACTTGAACAACATCAGATTATAGATAGAGGTATCGATTTGCTATGATTGCAGATTTCTTGCTGATTCGGGAAAGAAGTCGTTCGTACATTAAAATTGTCAATTGCAAGATCAGGATCTGCTGATGCGAATGGAACATTAGATACTTCATCATCATCATCATCATCATCATCATCAGCTTATTCTAGTCCACTGCTGAACGTAAGCCTCCCGTAATTTCACCAATAATGCTCGGTCCTGAGCCGCCCGCTTCCAGTTTGTACATATACGTTTCAGATCATACGCCCATCTGGTTGGGGGTCGTCCTCTACTTCTTAGGGCATCCGCTCTTGGTCTCCATTCCATAATACGTTTGGTCCATCTATCATCCGTCATTTTAGCAATAATATGTCCTGCCCAGTTCCATTTCAGCTTGGCTATAGTTTGTATGGCATCTTGCAGTCCGGTTTGTCTGCGGATTTCAATGTTTGTTACTCGATCCTTCAAAGATAATCCCAGTATAGATCACTCCATTGCATTCAGAACCACACTGATTTTTTTTATAGTTTGTTTTGTCTGGCACTGGCAGTACGCATTGGTTGAAAACTTTTCTTCCTAGAAATATTGGGAGTGTCGACTTGAATACGTCACTAAGCTTGCCAAAGGCAGCCCATGTCAATCCTATCCTACGAGCAAGTTCGTATGTTTGATTATGCCTGCTGATATGAATCTGATGTCCTAAATTTTTATAGGCAGCTGTTTTCCTTACTACTTCACCAACAGTTTTACCAAGCACAACATTTGTCATAATTTCAGTTTTGGTCATGTTGATTTTTTTTTCCTACTTTTTGTGAGGCAACATACAATTTTTCCAACGTTGAGGCTGCGTCGTTCATACTGTCCGCGATGAAGACGATATCACCTACAAATCTGAGATGATTTAGTTTTTCGCCATTTCGTCTCTCCTATTTCCTTCCAGTCTGTTTCCTTACAGATATATTCTAACAGAAAGATGAACAGTATGGGTGAGATGGTATCGCCCTGTCTTACGCCTCTTTTCTCTTTTTTTGTTTTGTACTTTCTTGTAGTCTAACAGATGCTGTAGCGTTGTCATATAATATGTACATATATGTTTTATGAGCATCGTATAGCGGTGGTCTATTCGGCAGCTGGATAGTGCCTGTGTCCAAAGCTTTCTCATAATCCACAAATATTAATACTAGAGGTTTATTATATTCGACCGACTTCTGAATCAGGTTCTCAAGAACTTGGAGGTGATCGTAAGTTCCGAACCCTGATCTAAGGCCAGTCTGTTCTCTAGGTTGAAAAGCATCCAGTTTGGCGTCTCGTGGTGATTATTTTGGTGAAAAGCTTGTATATTTAAAAAAGCAGGCTGATCGGGCGATAGTTTTCCAATTTCGTTACGTCTCCTTTTTTATGAATAATGGTAATAATAGCATTGTTCCATTTGCTAGTAGGTGTTATCCCTTTAATAAGGTATTCATTAAAAAGTAGCTTTAGGGCCCTTAGTAGCTTATCTCCGCCACATTTGGTAGCTTCTATAGTTATTTCATCTTCGCCGGTTGCTTTATTTCTCTTTATTCCAGAAGCTGTTGTGATTTCACTTAGGGTAATTCCTGGAATGTCTTTCGAGCACACATTTAGCATTTTAGGTATTGGAGATGCTGGTCTCTGGGCGTGTTAGTCTGTGTATAGTTTTCCACTAGTCTTAGTATCCCCTTTTTATCGGTGATAGTCTGACCTTGGTTGTTTTTTAGCATGCACATATTTTTCTTACTGGGATCATATTTTTTATCAACTCAGTGTTACATTTTCTAATGTCATCACGAATAGATATTGATATGGCTTTGTTTAGATACTTACTCTTCAAAATACCAAAGGTTCCATCAACTGCTCAATTAAATAAAATAAAATAAAATGAGAGTAAATCCTTTTGCGTTCATAATTTTCACGGTAATTGCGAAAAAGGTGAAAAATTATATTTTTTAAACGAATTTTTGATAATTTTGTCGCATTGCAAAGTATGATGCAAACTTAGAATACAGTCAAAGTTTATACAATGCTACAACCTCTTAAAGGCTAATTCGTGATTGATCTATTTAGGTTTTAATTTAACTGAACTGTGAACTTTATTAGGCTCACTTCTTGTATAGTGAACAGCTTATTACTAAAGGCCAGCTGCCAGCTGATTAGAGCAGCATTGAAGTAGAGTTTTTTTATCTTAAATAAATTTGAGAAATATTTTCTGTTTTAAAACTGTTATATATGTATGTACCGTATCTAATTTTCACGTCGCTCTTTCTTCTGTAGCTTCATTATCGATGTCGTGCTCTTAGTTTTTCACGTAAATACATCATCATCCTTCATGCGTTATTTTTTTCTGTTTTTAAAATATCGAAATTAAAATCTAGATTGCTTCATTAAAAAGAAGGTTGAGCTTAATCCGTTAAGACAAAGCGAGACAAATTTAAAACGCTTTGTGAAATTTTCTTTTATACCTTTAGGGTAAGTTTGAGCTAAATAATCCCTAGAAGTAATTAAAAACGTATAAATCTCCTCCTGTGTACCGCAAAATTGGCCTATTCATTATTTTATGTCGTACCTAAATATAATGGGAGGAACGGAGACATTCGGGATAATAAAAAACTATTCAGGCAAATAATATAGTACACCCATATTTGGTTGCATTTTTAGTTTTTCCTTTATTTCAAATGAAACATTTATTTTTTTTTTTTCAATTTAAGAAGTAAATAGGTACCTACATATTCAAATAAAAGATAAATAAAACAAAAAAAGTAATTTGGATAGACGATCTTATTTGTCACATTTGCAATGTAATTATTATTCAGCTTGTTGGTTTCTGTGTAAATATATCCTATTTTTTCAAATTATTTCCTATTTTTGCAAAATTTGGTTGAATGTCAATAAGTTGCTTGAAATTATTTTGCATGATATACCACACCTTTCAAACCAGAATTTTAACTTGGAAGGCTATCGCCTGCGCCTTGTTATGAACCACCATAAATAATTTCCGGTTTATTATGCAATTTATTTTTCTATTGGCTCAAAATGATGTATTCTACTATTGCGTTTTAAAATTATATAACAGAGATTTTTTACACGGATGATTGGTCCACCAACAACGTTTCACCCTTCAGTCCAGTGAATATGGGTTCAAAAAAAAAAAAATACGAGGGCCTGATCTTTTCAGAGCTGATTGGAAACTCTATCCTGAGTATTGAGCCAGAAAAGCTGACTCGGAAGCCTTGTGCGTTCGGCCATATTAGCATTTTTTTTTTTTTCGACAAAATGACCTCAATAAAAGTTGTGGATAATTATATTCTTATCAACTTTGCTTTATGACTTTTTTTGCTAGCTATTTTATTTAAGGCGCTGCGATCATTTTAGTGTTTAATATTTTTTTCTATTTTTATTTTTTTGTTTAAGTTATAGAAGCCGCACTAATTATAAGTACAATAATCTGCAGGTTTGCTATTTCATTTTTTTCCGAATTGTAAAGCACTAAAATGGTCGCAGCGCCTAATATAAAATAGCTAGCAAAAAAAAGTCATGAGGCAAAGTTGATCAGAATGTAATTATCCACAACTTTTATTGGGGTAATCTTGTCGAAAAAAAAAAGTATATAAATAAGAAAAATGCCAATAGGGCCGACGCACAAGGCTTTTGAGTCAGATTTTTAGGCTCAATACTCAGCAGTCTCCAATCAGCTCTGAAAAAATCAGCCTGCCCTCGTTAAATTTTTTCAAAAACCCATATATTCACTGGACTACTTCTAATGGCCGTTTGCACCGACCATTTTAACAAAGTCTATTTTAAGGGAGGTTTAACGATAATCAACGTTTAAAGTGACATTTTTACATGTAACAATGTCACTTTGAACGTTGATTATCGTTAAAGCTCCTTTAAAGTGGTCGGTGCAAACGACCATAAGAAATAAATATTGATCTTAACTATCCTCTTCCCAAATTGACATATTTTTTAGTTGAAATTTTCACAAAATAATGTAATTTTTTCGGTGAATATAAGATGCTCTTTCTCATCTCGCTCTCTCGCGTCATTTTTTTTTTTTGTTCCTCATCATAAATGCGAATGGTAATTCATATAAACGACATCACATACATATTTCAGCAGACACAAAACAGTAGGTCCTCATTAGTAGATGTAAAAGCCATTTTAGATCTAGAAAATATTATAAATAATAAAAAAAAGTATACAGGGCTAAATATCATGTAAAAACGGAAGGAGGTGATTCTTTGGTTTTTTTTATGACTGAAATTTCAAATAAACATCGGTCCGTAAACGCTTCGTTACGGAGCTACAAACAGGGTGTTGAAATTTCAATATTTTTTTTAGTTTTTTCTTTTTAGCTCAAATTTGAAATATAGGTTATGCAATAGGAGCTCAATGATTGCACATGTCAAACGTTTGCCAGAACAGCGTGATAGGTACTTTTTCAGTGGTCATGCCCCCTTTTCTGTCCCTGAACTTTTTTTTTCGCGGTGAGCCGCTGGTCGATTCTAAACAAATTAATGTTTCTACCTCACTTAGAAACTTTTTGTTCTCTTGTAGTTTTTTCGAATCAATGACCCTTATCGAAAAAAAAAAAAAAAAACAATTATCTGTAACTGATATCTTGGAAATGTTCTAGTAGGCTATGGTTTTATTTGGATTATCTTTTGTTTCTGGCAAACGTGTGACATGTGCAGTCGTTTAGCTCCTATTGCCTAACCTATAATATTGAAAAATTGAGCTAATTTCTTCAAAAATTGCAGGAGCTTTAAAGAAAAAACCTACACCCTGTAGATCGACAACGAAGCGTTTGCGGAACTATGTTTACTTAAAATTTCAGTCATAAAAAAAACAAAGAATCACCTCCTTCCGTTTGTACATGATATTTCGGAACACCCTGTATATTTATGATGCTAAAAATAAAAAGTCTTTAAATTTTTTATGAGTAAGTAGATAATTTTTCAGCAAATGTTGCTTTTCGAATGATAAAGATATAACCTTCAATTGCAGCCCGGTTTTGGACGCAGGAAAAAGAAAAAAGAAGTAAGATGTTTTCCAGTAAAAGTAAAAATGTTCACGGAAAGTTGCTTTTTAGCTATTTTATAAAAATACATGCGTCTGACGATTGAAAAATTATTTTACAATAATTGCCTTTCAAGCTTATTATCTTTGGACCCAACTATCTACTTCAATAAAGGGTGTGTATAAAAAGTATATTAACGATAGATTTTTTAGACGTTAAAGAAAGGAGGATAAAATCAAGACTTGTCGTTACATTTAATAATGAATAAACAACTAATTTTTAGTTATTCACTTGTATGCTGTTTAATATGATACAATTAATATTTATTAAAGCAATGATAATTAATTTACTGAAAATAATTTATTTTGTGAATTACCTTCTAATCATAATTACAGTGGATGCTACCTATATATAATAGACAGTTATTTTGTTACAATTTGTTTTAAATTTAAACTTTGGATTACATTATAATATATGAAGTATAATTGTTCAAATAGGTAGTGGAATTCGGGGTGAAAATTCCAGAAAACGAAACATTTAACCTATATAATATTATGAATGAACATTTAGCTTCTAAAAAAAGATTCACTAATAATTTTGTAATATTAGTATATTAGGGAGAAAAGTAATATTACCACAATGGTAAAATGTTAAATTATCATACTTGATATACTTTTTGTATCCCCCATGATATCTTCAAAGTAGTTTAGTTATCGTCAGTTGCATTGGAGATTAACCAGCTTTCTATTATTTAATTTATGCTGCTTAAGGCCACTCTAGTGCATTTTGGACCAGCTTAACACGATATAAAACACCAGAAGTATCTAGAAATAGTCTCAAACATAATACAATATTTTTTTTAGAAAATCAATTTATCCACATATTCCCGCGTTGACACTATTTTCATTATGTTCCAAATCCACTTATGACACCTATTACGTTTAATATTATTAATATGTTTAAAGCAAAGTAGATGATAGATATTTCTTAGAATGTTTACTGATTCATGTTCTGTATGTTAGAATTTTAGAAGAATTTTTAAAGGATGCTTTTACACATAAGGTAACGACTGCCATTTCTCTGGGTAGATAGCCACAACTGTAGAACAATAATTTATAATGCACTTTCGCAGTTCACAACGAATGACAAAATGACACCAAGGCCGAGGTTACCAAATTGCTTAATTCTTAATTTTTGTTCTTAATTTTTAATCTTTAAAAACACCAATGTTAAATAAATTGAATTTTTTATGCCTGGTTTATACTTCTGAATTAAGAATTAAACTAAATTAAGAATTAAACTAAACTAAAAATTTAAATGTTGAACGTCCATAATTTGATGCTGTCGTTTATACCTCAAATTAACAAATTAAATTAAATTAGATTAAATTGAAAGTTGGCTAACTTTCAACTAAGATTTAAAAATTAAGAAGATCGATCTATTTAGCTGGTTTTTGTTTATTTCAATGTTCCTTTCTGTCATTTGTGATTACGTAAAGAGCTAGCTAATTTGAGAAAATCCATAATTCTTAATTTTGGGTATAAACTGCATTTTTAAAGTTTAGTTTAATTTAATTTTCAATTTATTTCTTAGTTTAGTTTAATTCTTAATTTTGGAAGTATAAACCAGTCATTAAGCAAGAAGAATTAGGGACAAATATTAAGAATTAAGAAATTGGGTAACTTCGGCCTAACTAACTCTACCAACTAATTCTGAATAATATGTCGAAACCCAAAAAAATATATAAAAACGTGCAGCAATATCACTGAAAGCGACGACATAGAATAGCTTACTCATTTTGAACCGTATACCCTCCAAAAGACTCTGCTTCAAAATTTTAGAGATATGGGTCGGGCTATAACACCGTCTTCAATGCCTTTTGATTTAAGCGATGTCCTTATGAAACCTAATGCTCTATCTAAACTCTAAAAATTATAGGTTAGAGAACTCTACCAAGCGGAAATATTCAGCTTTTTCAAATAAGTTAAGGGCTTAAGATTAGTATAAGTAATTAAAAAATAATAATAATAATAATGATTAAAAGCGTAATAAAATAGAAAATAATAATTAACTTATATAATAGTTGACAGGATATCCATTGTTGGCTATGACTGTTTGGAAACTGCGCAGCATTGATGAAATTAAATTTTGGATAGTGACAATCGGCATATTGGTCCAAACTTCGTTGATTTTATCAAAAAAAAACTGTTTGTTTGGGAATGTTGTGGTACGGATTTGACCTTCAACTTCTTCACACAGGTTCTCAGTAGGGTTGAGATCCGGTGATTGTGCCGGCCACTGCTCAGACATTGTTCTCCTGAAACCCACCCGACAGGTGTGCTTGGGGTCATTGTCCTGTTGAAATACGAATCGCAAAGGCATCTCTCACTCAGCATAAGACAACATAACATTTTGGAGAACGTCCCTGTAAACTAATCGATTCATAGTGCCTTCTATGAAGTGCAAAGGACCTACTCCAATCAGTCCAATCCGAGAAAAGCAACCCCATAAAAACACACTTCCCCTTCTTCCATGCTTTATGGTTGGTATAACGTACTTTGGTTGGAACCTCGTATTAACTGGACGCCTTACATGCCTAATCCCATCGGAATTGAAAATTTTATATCGATTTTCGTCGCTAAATACTGTTTCCCAGTCTTGAACTCTCCGATTTAGATGATGCTGCGTAAATTCGAGCCTGGCGTGGCGATTTTTTTCCGGAAAACAGCTGTTTATTGGCTGGACGTCTGCTGTTAAGCTTTGCTTCAACTGATCTTAGTTGTACAGTCTTCGCACTTACTTCTAGTTCAGGAAGTTTTGCAATTATTCTTGGTCCTGACAACCACGGTGTCCAGGCCGCTCCACCTCCTCCATTCTGCCTGGCAACACCGCAAGAGGCTGCCGAAACATCCCCAGCAGCGCGCACCGCAGCGCCGGCCCGTGACGAGAACGACACACACGCACGACCAATAAGAAGGGATGCGAGCAACCAAGACGTCATGTCCTTTTACAAGCCAAAAAAACTATTTCAAATTGTGTTGTAAATTTCTTTTAGTCCAAATAAAAACAAATTAAAATACAGTCTACTAGTTCGTCGAAGACATGGTCCAATCGAACCGTAGGTATTTGAACATTTTTGGAAGAAAAGTGAATCAGTTTTATCACAGAAACAGGCAGCGGCACTGCCATTTTGGGTATTTTCGGCTTGGAGCAAGGAATGCGGAGAAAGGTGAGCCGATTCCAATCTAACCTTCCTAGCCTAGAATTCAAGGTTTTATTACGTCAATAAAAAATTATTTTTTGCGTGTATTTGCTAGGATTTCGCCAGGTTTAGGTTGTTGTTGTGCATTTAGCACCAGTCCAGCTTTCACAGACAAGCATTCATTATAAGGACCTATCATTTTGCTTTGTTTGCTTCTATAAAATAAATAATAAAACAAAATGAGCCAGCAGGGCCCTGAAAACTCTGCTGCAAAAATGCACGAAAGCCTTAAACTGTTTATGCGTAAGCGTGGTGGTTTAAAGGCTTCTCTCACAAAGGACCCCCACACTTCTTATAGGATTTCTGACCGCGGTCAAATCTAACCAAATTTTAGTACGTTATAGATCTCACATCTCTGATCAATAACTACCATGGGCACAACTTAATCCTATGACTAGTTTTTGGGATACAGGTAGTTTAATGTCCAGGAAATGTATATGCATTTACATCTACCTGTCAGTCCTGTCACCTGAGCGTGAGGATACCTGTCCATCCTGGTACGTTCGTAGAGAAATCACAAACCAGCTAGAGTGAATTTCATTGGTTGACTGTTTCTAACTGTTTTCAACCAATGAAATTCGCTCTGACTAGTTTGTGATTTCTCTACCAACAGACCTATTATTAGATGACAGGTAGAGATGTAAATGCATATAAAATGTGTACATTTCTTGGACATTAAACTACCTGTATCTCAAAAACTAGTCATAGGATTAAGATGTGCCCAGGGTAGTTATTGATCAGAAAGGTGAGATCTATAACATACTAGAATTTGGTTAATTGTGACCGCGGTCAGAAATCTCAGGTGGAGTAAATAATTTACGCTAGAGAGTGTTTAGAATAAAGCAGGTTTTTACAGAGTTTGGTGAAGTTCAGAACGAAATAGAAGGCATTGTTAAGCAAAGCAAGTTAGAAGAGCAATATGCTGAACGAGCAATTTTCGAGAATAGGTATTATGACTACATTGCCACAGCTATAGTGGTACCGCGAGACGAGACTAGACGAGACTTAGGGTTGGTCTCGTCTCGTCTCGACATCTCGAGACGAGACCGTGATTTAGTCTCGGTCTCGAGTACCAAAGTCTCGTCTCGTCTCGAGTGTTCTCGTCTGGTCTCGAGTTATACAGGGTGTCCAAAAATAGCGTTAAAACTCTTCTCTACGTGATGGAGGATCCTACAAGGAACCCCAGAAAAATACTTTAAAAAATCTAGTGGCATTCTTAAGAAAGTTATTTGCATTTTAATATTTATTAAAATTGGCAACACTGAAAATATCCCGTTGTCAATATGTCAGAGAATTAAATTAAAAACCCATGTAACTACCTGAAGAATTCGAAGGTGAATTTTCACATCTACCTCTTCATATTACCAAGAATAATGCTGGAGAAGGATTTTTTTAATTTAATTATTTTTCTAGAGTTTCTCAAAGGGTCCTCTACTACGTGGAGAGTTTTTACGCTATTTTTCGGACACCCTGTATTTATCGTTTTTGTTTTTATATTATAACGGAAGTCTAAACTGCCACAGTGAAAAAGCAATTAGTGAAAAATCACAGTAAAGAGTAACCCTGATATTTAATTTACTGATTTCATATTCAAATAGCCCAGAATAGTCCAATAATAAAGTTATGAAAGGAAAATTTTAAGTGTAATCTCGAGACTCGAGACTACACGAGACTCTCACCGAGTCTGGTCTCGTCTCGTCGAGACTTCACGAGACGAGACCAAAAGCCAGTCTCGTCTCGAAAAGTCGAGACGAGACG